GTCGAGCGATCGGCCCGATCCAGCCGTAGTGGGCACCCCGTATAACAATCTTGAAAGAGGTGTAATAAAAATCTACACAATTCTACAGACGCAAGAGACAACAACCTTGTGGCGGACATTACTACACGTCATCGGTGCCTGGACCTTTGTTGTTTTAGTAAGTAAGAGCTTTACAGCACTTGCAACACAACAAGATCATATAAGTGCCGTCGAAGATTAGAGCTGTTACAAGAGAGTAACAAACACAAAGAAAGGAAGAAAGATAAGGACGATAGATGTTTAGTTAGTTTTAGTAGAAGTTTTACGGCACTCGTAACTGCATAATGTCATATGAGCGCCAGAAGATTAGAGGTGTTACAAGAGAGTAACAAACATAAAAAGAAGGAGGGGAGATAAGGAAGATATATGTTTGATAGAAAGAAGAAGCAAACCACACCAGAGCACCCGCCAACCACCCACCGATAGATGTTTGATAGGACAGAAGGAGCAGACCACACCAGAGCACCCGCTAACCACCCACTGGTGCCTGGACCTCTCTGTCCATTACCCACAGAGCCTGTTCACAATTTCTGACAGCTGACAACGCCCACAAGGCCTGTCCACAATTTCTTGACAACTGACAACACCCACAAAGCCTGTCCACAATTTCTGACAACTGAGACAACAATTTCTGACAGCTGACAACGCCCACAAGGCCTGTCCACAATTTCTTGACAACTGACAACACCCACAAAGCCTGTCCACAATTTCTGACAACTGAGACAACAATTTCTGACAACTGACAACGCCCACAAGGCCTGTCCTCAATTTATGACGGCTGACAACACCCACAAGGCCTGTCCACAATTTATGACGGCTGACAACACCCACAAGGCCTGTCCACAATTTTGGCCAACTGACACGACCATTTCTGCCAACTGACACGACAACTTTTGACAACTGACACGACAATTTCTGCCAACTGACAACACCCACAAGGCCTATCCCACAATTTCGGACAACGGACTGACAACGCACGCCTTGTCATGAAATGATCCTCCCGTACAGAAAGATCCGGGGTAGCGTGTATTGAACAACTCTCTGGTCTATTGGGAGGGATTGATCTGTATCCATGAAATTATCGATTTGCGCAAAACAAATAAACTGGGTCTATAAAAGAGATAGCTAGTAGTAAAGAAGGAGTTCCCTCGTGTCAATAGACAGACAGTAGTAGGGATCTACGAGCTGCGAGTCGGACGACATGCACAGAAAGCCCCGTCAATGGCAACAGGACAATAGTGGAATAGTTTCCACCATGTATAGCAGGCCTGGTCGAACAAATCGCAGACAATAGTATAAATAATATTATAATGATCACGTTTGTGTTTTCAGACATGATGTGTATGAGATGCAAGTGTGTGTGTGTGTGTGTGTGTGTGTGTGTGTGTGTGTGTGTGTGTGTGTGTGTGAGTGTGTGTGAGTGTGTGTGTGTGTGTGTGTGTGTGTGTGTGTGTGTGTGTGTGTGTGTGTGTGTGTGTGTTTGTGTTTCCAAATGTAGGCCTATGTATGTGTGTGTGCGCACGTGTGTGTGTGTGAGAGTGAGTGTGTATGTGTGAATGTATGTGTGTGTGTACGTGCGTCTCTCTCTCTCACTCTCTCTCTCTCTCTCTCTCTCTCTCTCTCTCTCTCTCTCTCTCTCTCTCTCTCTCTCTCTCTCTCTCTCTCTCTCTCTCTCTCTCTCTCTCTCTCTTTCCATGTTTCTGTGTCAGTGTGCGTAACAGACAGACGGACCGACCGACCGACCGACCGACCGACAGTCAGACAGACAGACAGACAGACAGACAGACAGACAGACAGACAGACAGTTGCTATTGTTATTCTTAAAGGGAAAACTGTTGAGTGGTTAAATGTGGAAAAGTGTTATTCCATATATCATTATTATTGCGATCATTATATTATCATCGTGAAATATCATTATGATTATTATGATTATGACAATACAATAAAATAGTAATCCATAAAGTATTGTCAGCAGGATTTTCTGTTCTAGTCGCCTAAGTACCCGCTCCATGAGTCGGCTGGTGCATTACAAAAGTACCCGCTCCGTGAGCCAGCTGGTGTATTACAAAGTACCCGCTCCGTGAGTCAGCTGGTGTATTACAAAGTTGTTTTTTGATATCCACTCCGTGTGTCGGCTGGTGTATTACAAAGTTTTGTTTTTATATCCACTCCGTGAGTCGGCTGGTGTATTACAATACAAAGTATCCACTCCGTGAGTCGGCTGGTACATTACAAAGTACCCGCTCCGTGAGTCGGCTGGTGTGTTACAAAGTTTTTTTTATATCCACTCCGTGAGTCAGCTGGTGTGTTACAAAGTATCCGCTCCGTGAGTCGGGCTCCACGAGTCACACGACAACTCTGTCCAAAAGAGACCTGGATGAGTAAGTGTGTATTATTCCCTTACAAACCCATGCTTCTCCTCAGGTGGCGAGTCAGACTAAAGACTGTATCCACAGGCATGGGAAGAAGGTACTGTCGTCTACTCATCATGTTCCTGACATTGCTCTATCAGCCTTTCATTTGTTTTGGCCTCTAAAAACAGCGACGAGCAGGAACGAGGATCGTGGAAAAGGATGATTTCATGGCGTCCATCGGAATTGGCAATATACTTTCGAAAAGAAATTTTTCGAGGAGAGGATATTACGTTATCATGATTAGCTGCTGGAAAAAATGCACCCGTCTTTATAAAGACTATGTCATAACAATAGCTAAATGATGTTACTATACACCATAATTATAAAATGTTCAAGATTATTTTCAGATCCATTCAAAATCATTTATTAAGACGCCACTTTGGAACAGTTTTCCTGCAATTATTTTTTAGTTACACGGACTCGTGATTTGTCGTTAGTAATGCTTGTGCCAACATTTTAAAGAATCAAGTGAACATAATAATAATATATATATTAGTAAAAGCTTTGTTACACTTTTAAAAACATGTGAAACTTGCAACAGTGCCTTCAGCAAAAAATCATACACAATAAAACAGCCCACTAGTGATGCACACTGGCAGTGTTACTAAATCACAAGACACACAAAATGTTTACAGCATGGAGTTCGTCAAATGTCATGGGCCAGTTCAAAATCTCACTCAGACCTATATATTTCCTAAGTTTGTAATGCATTTTTGCCTTAGAAGCATCAATCAAGAAAAAAACAACTTTATGGCACCGATAGTTCTGTCTTTCATTTTTAAAATGTGTATAATTTTACTCCATATTTTGACCAGATTGTAAAGTACAATTGTTAACAGAGATAATGAATCTGCGGAGTAAAAACTACTCACAAAGTATTGAACAAAAAAACAAAAAACAAATCACCAGTTTAATAGAAAATTTTTTTAAAATCTTCCCCGGTTAACCCATCAAGCCCCACCCACCTTCTCCTTCCATTTTCAATACAACTATGACCAAAAACATTTCGGAAGATAAAAATTACCATTTAGATAAATACACCAAATACTTTCAATCAAACAAGTTTGCAACTCTGGATTCTTTCACAAGAAAAAAAAAACCAACAAGATAAATCAACATACTACAAGGAGGCTTCTGATTTGTGTCCCAACTCCAACATGTTTTTTGAAAATTTACTCCTTAAAGGCATATTTTGGGAAATGTAGTTTGTTTTCAGGTTCTATATTTATACTCAGATAGTAAAATGTCCATAATCCTAAAAAGTCACAAACTGTTATTTTCTACACTTTAGTGCACTGAAAGAACATACCTTACTTCTCTTTACAGATTTTCGACGGACTTTAGCCTGCAACTCCAAACAATTTTTGACTGTAGTCACCAAAATTTTGATTGTCTCTTTTATTCAAGGTGCAACTTTAAAGATATGAACAGAATAACAATAACACAACACTGGCTACAGCCAAGGAATCCACAGTCTCCTGATAACCTTTTACAGAATTTTCAAAATAATTCTTGAATATCTTGGCTGCTACCATAACAAATTAACACTGATAGAGAATACCCACCAAAAATCAGATAAAAATGTAAGGTGATCCTAACAGAAAAAAGGCACTATAAAACTTAAGAAAGATAGTAAAATGAAAACCAAGCTGCATTTATTATATCATATTGTTTTATTATCATACTCAACATCAAAACTTTCTCATTGCATAAATCCATCATACTTACACAAAAGTTTCAATCGTTGTAATATGTTTCCATATGATGAACAGATCTGTAGGCTACTATTGGCGGTAGGCCTACATTCTGCACTTGCCCCTCTTACACACCGCATTAATCTTTGAACCCCACAGCTGCAAGAGCCAGATGGCAAAATGTAATATGTGTCACGACATGGTGGAATCAGGCGCTCGTCAATTTTTGTGCATGAGGAGTTATTACCTGGTATCATCTTAAAGCTTCTTGTGTGTTTATCTTGCTTTGGATGAAAAAAAAATACCCATCTATCTTGAGCAGAAGTGAAGATATTTGTGATTGAAAGAGGTAAGTTCACTTGGCTTTACGGGGGAAAAAAAGTGAGAACAGGGCTGCCAAAGATTGGTAATTTCAATAGCTAAAGAGTCCTTGAAATCTGAAAAATTGCATACTTTGAGCTTTTAATCAAGGTTTTTCAATTAAATAATAATTCAAATGAAAACGTGTTTTTATTTGGACATTAAAGAGTTGAACAAACAAACAAAAATTTGATTAAAATTGCGAAACTAGTGGGAAAATGCCTGTTTCTTCAATTTTGTTATTTTGACCAGCGCCTGATTCTACCACAATGCCTCACATATATTTATTGCTTTTCTTCACTAAACACCTTGAAATCTGTCCATGACTTGGGTATAAATAGAGAATGAGTATAATTATGCAATTACGTGGGTTAGAATTAATTACAAGCAGGAGTAGGGCTACTATATTTTGCATGGCATTTCAAAGAAAGCAATACATTTGAGAGAGGGGAGAAAAATGATCTGTAAACAGCGAACAAAAATAAATTTTTACCTGTGTCACAGAGTCGACCTGCAGCTCAAATGGCTGACCATTGTAGCCAAATCTGATGTGATCACCAGGAGCCAGTCGCACAGCTGCATTCTGAACACGCACGTCGTTGACATACGTTCCCTGAGCAGTGTTCAAGTCTTGAATGACAAAACAGTCATCATGCTCGCTGTATTCTATTACACAATGTTGATAGTCCACACCAGGAAGCTGTTCAAGACACAGAAAAAGAAATATTCTTAAAATCACATTATTCAAAATTATATATATATAGATCTATGTGCAAATTTATTCCAGAACTTCTTCCCACTCACTAAATATCCATATGATGAGAGAGACAAACTACAAGAATAGATAATTCTTGAAAGTTGTTCTGCCATGACTAGGCATGTGTTTGTCTATGTGTGTGTGTGTGTGTTTGTCTATGTGTGTGTGTGTGTTTGTGTGTGTGTGTGTGTGTTTGTGTGTGTGTGTGTGTGTGAGTGTGTGTTTGTATATATGTGTTTGCATGCGAGACAGTGTGAGAATAGGTGAGCCTTCGTATTTGTGTATCATGTGAGTAGAAGATATTTATTAAAAGACCAGGTGAATGTGCAGCATATATGCCATGCTAAAGTCACATCAAATTACAGGTTAAGAAAAAAAAAGATGAATACACCCAATAGAGAAACTTAACTTTACAAAATTCTGGAGAATCTGTATAATATATAGATCTATATATAATGTGACATGACTGCAATGCACAATCTGATACTGACATCTGAAGTTGCAGATGGATTGGGCAGACAAGAAATTATCTAAATGAGTGAGTTTTACTCTGGAAAAGAACTCTTAAAGCATATACTGAAATAGACACATAATTCAAAGTGATTCTTAACACTAATAACATCACTCTATACCTCTTACATTGAGCAAAAGGAAGGACTGACCAAAGCATCATAGAAAAGCAACAAGCTGGATTCCAATGGCATGTGTTAATATATTAATCAGAATAAGGCTTATAATGCGTCAATTACAAAACATTCATGCTGCAATTCAAGATGATTACATCATATTCTTAGCGGAAACTTTAAACGTAAACCAGAGAACAATTTGCATCGCAGTTCTGAAAGGTAGGAATGTGTAAGTAGGCCTACGATCATAAACGCCATACTCACTTGAATGGTGAAATCACAATTTTCTCTCCCAACTGTGGTGACTTTTGGGAGAAGTGGAAACAGCGTCCCATCGGCACCCTTCAGATACGATTTCACCATATTGCACAGTAGCTTAAAAACAATATAGTTATCTCGGATTGATCAGTCAAGCGAAAATTTTTATGATGGGATTAACCCCTGCGGTACCCCAAATAATCTCTCGTGGGACAATTGCTAAAAAAGATCACTTTCGCGATGTAAAACTAAGCGGCGTCTCTGCTAGATTCACCGGTGATTTGCATAGGTTTCACTAATGCATATAAAACGTCCAGGAAAACACAAGACCACACCCAAAGCATCATAAACAATCGTAAAATAGCACGCTCAGAATGTCCATAGGCACCATGTTTCGATCGTGCTGGTAGTCCAGTTCGATCAACTCCCTTTCATCACTAGTCATAACAACCAAACACAATTACTCTCGAAACCTAGAAACAAAACTTCGTTTTTAAATTTTGAAATACATTTTAAGACAAATCTATTTCATTCTTCATATAATTCATCCTTATGTTCAGTTTATTTACTGTTGTTTACAATCAACAATAATTACTTTTAGGGGGATGGTAGATTTTTTTCTCTCATTTGTGATAAAATTAGTTAGAGAGTATTCTCAACTCAAGTCAACAGCTGCCCTCTAAAAACTTGTGTTGACATATTAGAGCACAATCTTTGATGAATGCAATGCTATTTTTTTTAGTAATCACCGATTTGTTTATAATAAGTCAAATTTAACCATTTTTATTGATATTTAAATATATTTATAATTTATTATTTTTCTTACGCAGCATCCTCTCAACTTTGAACTGTTGCGCTCTTTTTCATCATAGTTTTTAATATATTTGCTTTAATCATGGCAGACACCGCCTACGAAAGAGTATTGTGTGTTAAAAATGAAGTTCTTGTGTATAAAATACCCCCTCGACCGTCAAATAGAGGATACAGGTAATTTATTGATCTTAACAATCATTAAAATATCTCATGTTACATTAATTATCTTCTCTTTATGGTTATTTTGTTTAAAGTGCATGAACTGAGCTGCCTCTCTGTCTTTGTAAAAAAATGATGAAGTGAAGTGTCGAATGTTCAAGTTCAGTTCAAAATGCGTCAACTGAAACTCACAGCCTCTTGATAGATCTCTAGATATTTAGATCTAATCTAGGTTTTAGTCTAGATTTTTAGATCTAGAATAGATCTCTAGATCAAGATATGCATAACCAGATAACACACAACAATAGATCTAGATTTAAGTTCTAGAATCTACTCCGACAGAGTGGTGGGTGCAAGTCCCTCAGCCCTCTTCTAGTCTCTAGCCTAGACTAAAAGGTGCTTTTTCGGTAGTTCCCACCCCCCTTATTTGAGCCTGACCTACATCTAGATCTAGATCTAGATCTATATGATGTTTGATTCGCGGTGAGCTAAGATATCAAACCTAACAACTGCAAAACATTAAATTATGCCCCCCTGAAACCCCCCTTCCTATTTTTTATTAGGTCAGGGGGGCAATGCCCCCCTGAAACCCCCTACTCTTGTGGCCCAAACCCGTGAATAAAATTGCGGGGTGGGATCTACCGAAAAAGCGCCAACTAAAAGACCAACTTTACGCGCAACGATAAATTGACTTTGTCATTGTTACAATGATTGTACAAAAACTGGACAATCTATTGATCATGAGACAAATCGTCAGATGCAACCACAAAATTGTACAAAAATTGGACGATGGCTTGGGCTTGGAGACTCGGTCGAGAAATCAAGCTCTGCTTGATATTTTCCATGCGATCATGGTCAGATTTGGGGGAGATGCTCTTTGAACTAGATCTAAATCTAGGATCACTTTAAACGGTGCACAGGATTAAACTTACATCTAGAATCTAGGGCTCAAAATATTTTTAATAATTATTGCAGATAAATAGGCCTACTGATTTCATATTCGGAATGAGCGTCTCAAAATAAGCAAAGTTGCCCTCAGAAACTTGAATTGATGCGTTATTAATAATATTAAATTTTAGCAAAAATGTATTTATATAAATATTTAGACTTTGTCAATTGTGAAGTTGTGTATCAAGGTCACCCGGTAAGTTGCACATCTGCAATCAAGTCAAAGAATAAGTATCTCCCTGATCGTAAGAAAACTGGAGGATAGATCGGAACGTCTTAAAACAGACTACACAGCTTGATAAAACGGACAGTTCTCGCACGACGAATCTGACACAATTTGTCGTCTTGCGTGTATCAGGTGCTTAAGGTTCAGTGCAATACAATAAATGTCGATTCACCAGTTGCTCCCATCACATGGAAAATATTCGTGTTTTATATTTGAAGTTTGAAGTTGAAGTAGATCTAATCTAATCAGTTATAAATCTTTGCACCATGTGACTGTTGTTGCAGAGCTGATGAGTGGAAGTTGGATGCCCCTGACTGGACAGGGAGATTGCGCATTGTCTCTCTGGAGAAGGAGTTATTCTTGAAGTTGGAGGATAAGAACAGTGGTGAGTGATGAGCTTCTTATTTCCTTTGTTTTCTTCCATCTTTTCTTTAATTTTTGTTGCAGAATGCTTGATGGGAGTCTGTGCAGTGTAATTAGTGAATAGAAATCAGCGAATAACACGAAGTTTATTCCTTCTTTGGAAGTTGTGTTCTAACTACTGAAACAAACTTCACGGCACTCATTGTCATTTGTTGGCTAGTCTTTAAAACTGCACAAAAGGCTTCAAATCTGCAACAGGCTTATTGAATTTTAAAAAATAATTCATAACATAATTATATAAGCCATAATAAGCAGTGTATTATTTCTTTAAAGAGTGACCTTTGCCAGCTATTGATAATAGACTCGGTACAGTATAATTTGTAAAAGTGAAAGTCACCTTTGGGTCTGGTGTGGATTGTAAAAGAACAAAAGTGTTTCTCGCATTCGTGAGCATAGGAACAGTCTTTGCTCAGGCAGCATATATTATGTTGAAAATATACAATATGTTTCTTTTGTTTATTTATATGTCATCATGTGCCTGTTATATCTTACTGTTCATCTTAGGTGAGCTGTTCGCACAGTGTCCGGTGGACGCATACCCGGGGATCGCGGTAGAGCCAGTGATGGATTCCAGTCGTTACTTTGTGATCAGAATCAAAGACGGCAGTGGTAAGTTCACATGTAACACCAATGCTAATTCTACAACACTGGCTCCCGGTGAAAGCACGAATTAAGTACAATATAATTGTTCTTTGTTTTAAGTGCGTCCACAACATTGCACAATCATATCTTTGTGACATGGTCATCAAATATTTTAATACCATCTCGGCCTTTAAGTTCGGCGAAAAAAAGACTTGTAAGACCCGTCCGAAGCAAAAGTCAGAGACTCGGAGGGAGAGCTTTTTCACACCCCGCCTCCTCTCTGTGGAAGGCTTTACCAGCTCATCAACCGGGAGTCTACCACTTTAACAAAAAAATTCAATTGAGCACTTCAAACGCTATGCTCACTCAGTATTTATTATGATCTCTCAGTATCATTTATTGCTGTTCTGTTCTATAACAATTTATGACTGTGTGATGTCGTCAATGTGTACAAGGGTTGTCTGGGTAAGTAGTGTGGGATTGTCTTTACTCAAGGATGTACTGGAGAGAGTGAGAAAGAGAGGGAGGGAGAGAGAGACAGACGGAGTGAGAGAGAGAGAGAGAGAAAGAAAGAGGATTAATATCCAGAAGCTGTGCGCTGCATTAAGTTCTTTGTATTATTGTACAGGGCATTGAGCCCTTATTTGTGTGGAAATGCGCTATATAAATACAATTTATTATTGTTATTTATTATTCTCTCGTAGTCTGTAATTGTTTGTTAGGGGGAACTGCTGCTTTTTCTTTCCTCGTCCTTACTATCATCATTTTGCCTCTACTTCTTTTGTATGTTTGTCACACTCTTGTAAAAGTGCTATTTCCGCGGTGCCCTGACTGTCGAAGCAGACTTTGTGCTGTTGAAGCTAGAGAGGTGAGCAAAGTAAGCCATGGACTTCCCATTTGGACTTCTCTGTTGACGTCCACCCCTTGGCGCTCTTGTGGCAAATGCAGTTGCAAGCCCTAAAACTTTACCAGAACAAGCAAATCGGGCTGAGATCCTTCCATATACCGTGACTGCACCCTTTATAGTGTTTTGTCATTTTACCTGTCTAGTAGCACAACGATGTACATTCCACAGGACGGAGCGCATTTATAGGAATTGGCTTCCACGACAGATCAGATTCCTTTGACCTCAACGTCGCCATCCAAGACCATTTCAAGTAAGTATGTCCCTGAGATGACGAGTGACTCCATACTTTTGTGTGTTTGTGGTTGGCGGATGTTCTGGTGTGGTTTGCTCCTAATTACGTGTATTACCTGTCCTTTGCAACGTCATTGCACACCGGACAGGTCCATAAGTGCTCAGTTCCCCCCAGCACCAAAGCCTGCAAGGTATCCATACTGATTGTTCCGGTGGCTGTCTGATTATGGCAACGTCTTTCCTTTCCAGATAATCGTTCCTTTCTTCCTTCTCCCCTCTCTATCCCCATTTCTCGCTTCCTAATGATTGCATGGTGTTCTGCTGTCTCCCTGTTTTCTTCATCCCGCTAGTTTTTCTCCACGGTCTTCAACACTAATTTCCTATCAAACATCTATCGTCCTGATCTCTCCTTTTTTTGTGTTTGTTACTCTCTAGTAACACCTCTAATCTTGAGCACTTATGTCCCTATTCTGTTGCAAGTGCCGTTAAACTCTTACAGAAAAAACGCTCTTTTGTGTGATATTAGTTCAAAGATAATCAAGGTTTTTTTTTTTTCTTTTTTGAAGTGTTAAAAAAGTTAGGTGGGTACTCCAAGTGTTGCTCCATATAAAAATGAGGCACATATTTCCCTAGCTATCAAGCCAAGCCCTGCAAGTGGGTGGACCCAACTTTCGTGTTGCAGCTTTATTTCCTAAGTGTTCATCACTTTGTGAGTGCAAGGGCACAGGTTGGAGGAAATGTGAGGTTTTGCCCTACGTCCTGAAGCAGCTGAATGCAACAAGCCTCTAGCCTTTTCATGCTATTTCCCATAGATTGTTTGACATGTTTGTCCCCTTCTTTGTGATCTTGAGGCTAGTAGAGAGGTGAGCAGAATGGGCCGAGTTCCCTGTATGGACTTCTCTGTTGACATCCACCCCTTGGGGCTCATATGACCTTATGCAGTTGCGAGCGCTGTAAAAATTCTACTAAAACTAAAAACAACGTCTTGAAGCAGCTGGCTGCGACAAACCTCTCGCCATTTCATGCTGTTTCCCATAGACTGTTTGAAATGTTTCTGGCCATGTGGTTTCCCATATGTGTCATGGCGTGCTGGAATCAGGCACTCGTCAATTTTTGGGCATACACAGAGTTATTAATACCATCTTAAAGCTTTGGGGGGTTTTTTTGGTTTTATATTTGGCGAAAAAAGTACCTCTCTATCTTGAATTGAAGTCGAGATATTTGCGATTGAAGGTGGTAGGGCCTGGGGTCAGAGGTAAAACTATAGAAAAAAATGTCCGCCTAAGTTTGGTGACTTCCAGACTTGGGAGCCCTTGGAAACTGGAAATTTATGTTTTTTGTGCCTTTAATGAACATTTTTTGGTAACATTTACTCAGAAATGTGTGTTTAGAGGACATAAAAGATGTTGAGCCAAAAATATAAAATTAAAAAAAAATTACCTAACACTCAGAAGAATGCCGTTTTATTTGATTTCATTATTTTGACGAGCGCCTGATTTCGCCACGCTGCCTCACATAGATTCTTTAAAATGTTTCCTTTCAGGTGGCTGAAACAAGAGGCAGAAGAAGCCAGCAATGCCAAGTCTTTGGAAGCAGCGCCAAAGTTAGATCTGGGGTTCAAAGAAGGGCAGACAATCAGACTGAACCTCGGGGTATGTGTCACAATGACCTAATGTGAGACATGTTGACAAAATGAGTTACTTCTCACAATCCACAAATGGAGATATTGGCCAAAAATTGACACTTGGGTCAAATTTGTAAAATTTCTATTGATGCCATATTCTTTATGTATAACATGCCTTTTATTATTCCATACTTAATAATTTAATACCTATAAATGGTAAAAACTTCTCCTATAAGCGTGATTTAATATCGATTTCCGTAGGGCTCAAATCCGAGAAGTATCTCATTTTGTCAGCACACTTCACATATTATTGTTACTGCTCTCTTTACAATTGACCTGTGACGCCCAAGTGAGTCCGATTTTCTTGTATCATCCCTCTGCGGGGCGTCCGCTCCATGCTTGAAATCAGTGACCTCGTGTCCTAGTTGGATCACTACAGCCTTTTTTACCCCCCCTAGGTAGTTGCGAGTGCCGTAAAGCCTAACAAAAACTAAAAAACTAAAAATAGGTTTGTGGATGGCGCCACGACTGGTAGGTCCTACTTGTTTTCCTTCCCTCTGTTGTTTTAACATGTTTATCATAATCTCTTTGCTCCAACTGTTTCAGACAAAGAAAGGCGATGCAAGGCCGCGCAACAAACCAGCAGCCAAATCTGGGGGTGCGCTGGGCTTCCTGCCCCCTCCCCCCGGTGGAGTGAGGATACCCCCGCCCTCAGGCGCCTCCTCGGCCTCCTCCTCCTCCTCCTCCTCCTCGTCGCCACAGCCTGCCGCTAGTCACATGATCGCTCCCCCGGCCTCGAGCACATTCCAGACAGTAAGTGCACGAGCCGCAATATCAGCTTTTGAGATCAAGTGCTTTTTTTTTTAGATTGGATATTTTATGCTATTGATGCCTCACATAAACACAAACTATTTGATTGACGCCTAATGTGACACAAACTTTTTGATTGACATCTCACTTGAATGAACACAAACTGTTTGATTGACATCTCACTTGATGAAGACAAACTATGGGATTGACGTCTCACTTGATGAAGACAAACTATTTGATTGACATCTCACTTGAATGAACACAAACTATTTGATTGACATCTCACTTGAATGAACACAAACTATTTGATTGACATCTCACTTGAATGAACACAAAGTATTTGATTGACATCTCACTTGAATGAACACAAACTATTTGATTGACATCTCACTTGATGAAGACAAACTATTTGATTGACATCTCACTTGGTGAAGACAAACTATTTGATTGACATCTCACTTGAATGAACACAGACTATTTGATTGACATCTCACTTGATGAAGACAAACTATTTGATTGACATCTCACCTGAATGAACACAGACTATTTGATTGACATCTCACTTGAATGAAGACAAACTATTTGATTGACATCTCACGTGAATGAACACAAACTATTTGCCTACTGTGGTGAAGGTCACAAGTGAAATGATAAGAAGGTTTCACAGATCAGTGTTTGAACTTGTTTCCTCTGCGTACATCAGTGAAAAACCTAGCAGTTGTAGGAAGTTTCTGGGATTGGGCATTTTGGAATGTGAGAGCCTTATCACATACAGGCTACTCCTGAACGAATTACTCTAGATTTGATTGTGCTTGTTGTAACGGGTGATCCTCTATGGGTTTTGAAATAGCTGGCTCCTTCTTACCTCTATCAAACGTCTATCATCCAGACCTCTCCTCCTGCTTTTTTGTGTTTGTTTCTCCCTTGTAACACCTCTAATCTTCGGCTCTTATTTGACCTCATAGTATTGCAAGTGCCCTAAAACTCTTATGAGTGGGTGGTTGGCGGGTGCTCTGGTGTGGTTTGCGTCTTCTTTCCTATCAAACATCTATAGTCCTTATCTCTCCTCCTTCATTTTTGTGTTTGTTACTCTCTTGTAACACCTCTAATCTTTGGCACTTATATGACCTCATTGTGTTGCAAGTGCCATAAAACCTCTACTAAAACTTTTTTTTAAACTTACGAAAAAAAAAGGAAATCGTTGGCAGGCCTGGCATGTGATGATTGCTTGAGCACCTTGTCTGTTGCTCCCGTCATCTATTTACTGTAATGTCTTTCCCCCCCCCTGTAGCAGCAACAAGGACAGAGCGGCGTGGACTTACTGCTGGACCTGGGATCCTCTGCCCCACCCAGCGAGCCCCTCAAGCCCACAGCCCAGAACCCTCCAGACCTGTGGGGAGACTTCACGGGTGCCACTGGGTGAGCTACAGCTTTCTTATTTGTCTTATTTTAAAAAAATATTTTAGTACAACTGTCTCTGCTTAAATGCAGTGCTTGGGAGGGCTCTTTAGCGTGTGTGTATACAGAGCATGCGTTTACATAAACCTTTGCAAAGGGAGGAAGGGACGCTGTCATTTCAATTCCTTGATATTCTAGTGACCTCCCTTGGGGGTGGGAGTCACTTTGGCTGATTATGTGACAACACGTGACTGTTCTGTGAAGGATTCCCCGGCTGCGGTTAAGAATACAAACGCGTTGAATGGGAGGGGAGTGGGCAAAAAGACAGACTCAGCGTAATGATAATCGCTATAAAATGTCCTGAATAGATAACCTTAGAGGAAACTATTGGTAATAGTCATAGAGACGATGGCCCAGCCATGTGGCTTTCCAAGCGACCACACCTGACCGTAAATTCATGAACGACATCAGAATCATAGATATCTATATTCAGAGAAACATTTCTCTTGTGATTCGTTGAACAAGTACGTTGTAAGTTCTTTAAGCGCAGCTGATAAGGCTTAGGCCTACTTGACTATAGAGGCCTAGCTAGTGTTTTACAGCATTCACGCATGTTACACATCACAAGCCTAGGTCTAACTAAACATTACATGCCGTCACCCAAACACCAGTCAGAAACCTTCTCTCAAAGATGCATTTCCAGCCATACCAAATATCTAGTTTTCTAGGCTTGTCTTATGCAAGCGGTGTAGGCTGCTGCGAAAATGTCCCCTTGTCAAGCTTTACCTGTCGGTGTGTTTCGAGGATCTAAGCGTGCGCTCAGAAGAAGTGGCGTGTGTTTGTACGTCTTGATTATATAGTAAAAAAAAACCTGTCAAATGACGAAAGTGTGCATTTGAGCGGAGCATGCTTTTGTATGGCGTGCGTTTAGGCGGAGACTACTGTAAGGTTTAACGGGGCTAGCAACTACTTAAGGTCATATGAGCACCAAGGGGTGGATAATGATAGTAATAATGTAGATCATTTCTATAGCGCCCACTTCCGTGTGAACACGGCGCTTTATATAACTGCATGTATGAACAACATTCACTCACGCACACAAACACACACACACACACTCACCCACTCATGCATACATAACTCCCATACACAGATGCTGAAGGGAAAATACTGAAGTCTTCGCCTAAACGCACGCCATACAAAAGCACGCTCCGCTCAAACACACGTTTTCATCATCTGACGGATTCTTTACTATATAATTTAGATGTACAAGTGCACGGCCACTCCCTCTAAACGCAAACTCCGATCCGCGAAACACGCCGACAAATAAGTTTGGCAAGGGGAAATTATAACTACAACCTGCACAGCTTGCAGAAGACAAGCCTAGACAACCGGATATTTGATGAGAGTGTCCCTCATGCTGAACAAAGAGAGTGATGGACAGCGTTTTCACACCCTACTTTCCACTGCCCCATATATCTCGGTCTAGGGCTGGTCAGTTAAATGTTGGGAGGGGGGGGGGATTGGGGGACTGAACTGTGTTTTGATGGGTCACTGGAAATGCATCTTTGAGAAAAGGGTTCTGACTGGTGTTTGGGTGACTGCATGTAATGTATAGTTAGACCTAGGCCTGATTCGCAACACGCGTGAATACCGTAAAACACTAGATAGGCCTCAATAGGGTTTATGACTAGCCAAGTAAGCCTAATCAGTTGCGTTCAAAGAACTTATTTTCTTGTAATGTACTTGTTCAATGAATCACAAAAGAAATGTTTCTCTGAATATAGAGATATCTATGATTCTGATGTCGTATGAATTTACAGTCGGGGGTGGTCGTTTGGAAAGCCACGTGGCTGGAACATTGTCTCTATGACTATGACGATCTCCAACAGCTTCCTCTTAGGCTATCTGTTCCCGAGGTTTATAGTGCATATTAATTACATTGAGTGTGCGCGCCCCCTCCCCCATTCAACGCCTTTGCATTCTTAACTGCATTTGGGGAATCCTTCACAAAACAGTCATGTGTCATCACATTATCGGCCCAAAGTGACCCCCACCCCAAAGGGAGGTCACTAGAATATCAAGGCAATGACATGACTGCGTTCCTTCCTCCCTTTGCAAAGGTTCATGTTAAATCACGCTCCGTGTAAACACACGCTAAGGAGCCCCCCGAGCAGCGTGCATTTAGGCGGTGACTACTGTTATATGAACTGTCAAGATTAAATTTGCAAATAATAAATATAATGAAATGAATTTCTTCAGTTAGTTGGAGAGATGGAGAGATCTTTTACTGCAGGTCTACTTTAAATAGCTTCAATTATTTATTCATCGGACGCAGAAAATCAATGTGTGTTGAGGGGAGTTAACATGGCCAGTGCCCATCATCTTGACCGGCCACGTTGGTGCAGTCTGTTGTTGGTTTTTTTTTTTGGTTTTGAAGAGTTGGCAGTTATGGGACAGTATGGTGCTGGCTGTGTGTAGAAATAAAGTCTTAACTCGGACACATCTTGTTTCCCTCGACAGATCTCAAGCGTCGTCTTCCAACAACAGTGGGGGTGACTGGGTGCAGTTTTGATGCTGCTGAGCTCTATTATATCTATTCATCTTTTGTTGTCTTGTTTCCTCACTCTTAGTGCAATTTACTGTAGAGTCAGCCCATCTGTTCTCGGCATGCTCGTCATGTTTTCCCAATATTTCAACTCGTGTGTGTGTGGGAGTGACAGTGCCAGGGGTAACCTTTACTTATGCTGTGTTTGATTTTGACCCTCCTAAAAATGTGGGGACGTGTATGTTGTGTATGATCCTCTTTTAAAATGTCCTGTTCCCGATTCTTCGGAAGTCTTAATTAATTAAGGGAACGTGAGAGAGTGCAATGTGATTTTTATCCAAGCGCAAACTTTTTGATTTGGTGTATAGTGAATCGAGTGCATTGATTGGTTGTTGTAATTTTAGACAGATTAGTGACGGGTTATTTTTCCGTTTGAATCAGTCCTCTGTTTGTCTCATAGCATGATTTATCCGCCGTTGGTTGGCTAGGCCAGTCACGGTTTCTCCAGAGCCCCTTTAGCCAGCAACGTTTTGGGGTGATAGCTACAGGAGATGATATGTTGTGTTTTCTCTACCCTGTACTTTGTTCTAACTTAAAATCATAGATCTAGTCTTAGTGAGTGCATGGCTGTCTATTTCCTCTCTGTGGGATTCCAACTTGTGTGTGTGTGTGGGGAGGGGTCTGCCATCCTGCGCCAACCAGTGTGTGTGTCTGTGTGTGTGCCATCCTGCTCCAACCACTGTGTGTGGGGTTTGACTTGTAAGTGATTATATGACTCCAGTCTCCCATCTGTCAATCCTACACTTCCCCTCTCTCATCTTCCCCTCTCTCATCTGTCAATCATAGACTTCACCTCCCTCATGTACTCCCCTCTAGACAAGGCTTCAGTTCTACTTATTGCATTCATCGGCCACTGGAGAAAATGGTCAGTCTGGACATGTGGGACGTGGGGTTGGGGAGGTGGGGAGAGGGGGGGGGGGACTGGTCTTTGGTTGAGGTGTGAGCGGTTGTGTGGAAATGTTTATAACCTTCTTACCTGGCCTAACTAATTGTTTGCAGGCACCAAAGTAGTCTAGGTGTCTCAGGGGTCAGATACACTTTGTTGTGTAGCCACGCGATGAACCGAGACCAAACTGGGTTTGTTGCTTTTTTTACCTTGGTTACGTCCCTTTATCGTAAACAGTGGCCAGGTTATGGTTGGTTTTGTGTTGTGCCGTTTTTTTTAGTTTGGAAACTCTTTATCACTGAAACTACAGCATACACACACACGTCAGCTCTTTATCACTGAAACTACAGCATACACACACACGTCAGCTCTTTATCACTGAAACTACAGCATACACACACACGTCAGATTCTCATAAGTACAGTTTGTGCCATATGTGAGGCAGCATGGTGAAATCAGGTGCTCGTCGAAATAATGAAAGCAAAGAAAAAGGCATTTTTCGACCGCTTTGGCAAATTTATAATATTTAAAAAATGTTTTGCTCAACACGTTTTAATATCCATAATTTAAAGAAATATATTTCCATATATGATTTTTACTGGAAAAACGTTGATTAAAGCCGTAAAATATGTAATATTTCATTTTTCAAGGACTCTGAAGCTATTGAAGTTACCAAACTTTGGCAGCCATTTTCTAGTTAAATTTACCTCTGAAACGAGGTGACTCCTCCTTCCATTGCCAATATCCCAACTTGCATCCAAGATAAATGGAAATTTTTTTCAGCGAAAACAAGACAAATGAACAAGATTTAAGATGATAGCAATAACTCCACACGCCCAAAAATTGACGAGTGCCTGATTCCACCGTATCGCGACAAAAATATGCTGAATGAATTCATCATAAGAAAGTTGGAGAGTTCTTGTAGGTATCAGAAAGTCGGTGTATGCTCACATACAGTATTTTATCAACATCCCAGAGAATGTCAATACAGACGAGGACAGTGGTGACAGAATGATGCTTGTGGGCATTGGGGGGCGGGGGGGGGGGGGGCGCAGGGAGCTACTTTAGTTGCAACGTTAATGGCAAAAGGTTTTGTACCAGGAAAGAATTGTGTATACATGGGTATATTATATATATAATATATGTGGGTATGTGTGTGTACGTCTGTTTAAAAAAAGTGTGCATGACTTTACAAATTCTCACCTGTATCTATCTTGTGTGTTTCCTTCAATCTTTTATCTCAGTGGTATTACCTGTACTGTAAGTAGAATGTATAACTTTGATTAATGTTAAGTAATTGACTACAACTACAATATTTTTGTTGTTCCATGTTAGCAGTCTCTGATAATTAAGTGATTGGCATCCCGTGAGACTGATGTCGGCATCCGGCGAGACTTTGATGTCGGCGTCCGGCCAGATTGTGATGCCGGATAACAATGAGATTGTCATGTGATAGCAGCACTGGTTCCTGTTGTGATATGTATGTGTGATATGTATGATCAATGTATGTGTGTTGTTTTTTCCCTGCTGCTCAGTTTCTCTTGTATTGAAAGTGTTGTAATGTATTCAATAACTGGCAATGTTTGTACATTCCGTGTCGTTCTTGGATCAGTCTGTTACGGTTCACCACAACTTTCTGGGTATGTATATTATGTATGCTGGCCACCTTGGACAAAGGGGCGTGTTCCTCACTTTTGACTACAGATGTGAAAGAGATAAATGCTTAAATGTGAAACGGAAATGGGTAAATATGGATAGAAAATGCATAAATTTGGATAAATGTTGAATAAAAACATTTGCAAATGCATTCAAAAACTTTCCCAACTTTGTTTTATCTCTCTATATAAAATAGATGGTTGATATTACACAAGGTAAGGTCAGTGTAATGATCTACGGCAAAGTTGATGTCCAGTTGTCCTCAATTTGATGTAATCACCTTCTTTCCTATCAAACATTTTTCGCACTGATCTCTTCTCCTTTTTTGTGTTTGTTACTCTCTTGTAACACCTCTAATCCTCAGAACGTATATGACCTTATTGTGTTGCAAGTGCCGTAAAACTCTCCCTAAACAACTAAAATCACCAGCAGAGTGAATGTTAGAAGGGTTTCAAAGTGTTTGTCACCAGTTGCAGCAGTGCATGCACAGGCATAGACTGGGGGAGGTGGGCGGTGGCGGGTGCGCTATGGTGGCGGGCGTTTTTCCTTAGTGGAGGTGTGAGGTAGATAATCTAGTGCTAGCATCTGCGTTTGTCGCGGACGCGACGCGCGAATCACGGCCGCAATTAATGGCATTTTTTAGTCTGCGAATAGCGGCAACAATTTTTTTTGTATTTTGAAAAAAAAAGACACCGCCAAGGAATAAAAAATCGATATAAAAGGGGTGAAAAAAAAGAAACCGAACCTCTTTACTGAGTTAAAAGAAAATTTATTTTCACTTCCGCTTCACTTCGTCTCTTTCTCACTTATTGACACCACGTGGATTTGTTACTTTCATATGAAGACATATTGCACACTATTTATACATTGCTGTTTTTTATTCGCAACTTTTGTGGCATCTTTTGTCATTTTTTGTGGTAACTTTTGGCAACTTCTGGACAAAAAAAAAGGCAACAAACGCAGATGCTAAGTAGTGGAGGTGTGAGGTAGATAATTTAGGAGACGGGCTATGTGAGTGTTGTGTCACTTGTGGGGGAAACAGGGAGAGATGCACATCTGGTAGTTCACCTTCACTTTCACCATCACCTTCTTCTTCACCTTCACCATCATCTTCACCGTCACCATGTGTAGTCTAGCTGACCTTTGAGCCACCTCTGTAGATTTGACCACCAGCATCTTCCAGCCCTGTTGTTGTCAGCTTACCGTAGTGAGATGTTCTAGTTACGGCCAGCCCACTCTTAGTTGATGACCCCCCCAGGGTGTGCGACTGACTGAAGTGTCTTTAGGCCATTCCCAAAGGGGGAGACATTAACAACTCGACTTCTTATGCACAGTAGAATTGTAGTAGTAAATGGGCTGATTCATCAATGTCATGCTCATAACTGTGCCTGAACTGCGACAGGGAACTGCTGCTTTTTCTTTCCTAATCCTTACTATCGTCATTTTCCTCTACTTCTTTTGTATGTTTGTCACACTCTTGTGACCCGCTATTTCCGGGGTGCCTTGATAGTCGAAGCAGACTTTGTGCTGTTGAAGCTAAAGAGGTGAGCTGAGTAAGTCTGATTCCCTGTAAGGACTTCTCAGTTGACAACCACCCTTTGGCGCTCATATGACCTTATGCAGTTTGCAAATGCCGTAAAACCTCTACTAAAACTAAAAAACTCTTTGTTGATGTTGATCGAGTAGATCATGTCTATACAGACGGGTAAATGAGAGTGGGGCTGCATAAGTTTGTGTTGCTCAGCATTGTTTTAGTGGAACACTAAACTGAACTGGCTAGCTAATGAACCTGTAAATTGCTTCTGGTGGGAGGGCATTCATGATTAATGAATAAATTGTGCTTTTTATTTTATCAGTGGGAACCTATTTGTCCTAAAAGACATTGATTGAGAGTGGGTGGGGCAGAGTGTTTGTGGCCACATGTCATTTTGTTCTGTTGAGACGTACAGGTGATATATATCATGACATTGACATATTTAATTAGATTATTATATTTGTTGTACATGTACCTAGTGGTGGTTTTCTACTGAGCTGGACGTAGAGAGAGATAGATGTATGTGCTCTTTGTGGTAAATTTAATGCTTTCTGCTTTGACGAATGTGTAGAGAAGGCTACTCGCAAATCTTTTTGTTGTGTTTTTTTTTGTTGGTTTTTTATGTTGTGTTCTGTCGTAAGCTTTTGGCCAGTGTACTTTTTTTTGTTTATATATATAGATCAAGTCAATGTTACGCACATTTTTCTTTTTGGAGTCTGATGAAAATGAAAATGTTGCCATAATTAAATTGTTTACTGTCAATGTCATTTTTTTTTCTTTTTCGGTTAGGTCTGGACTCTTTGTCTTTTTTTTTACTTCTTGCTCATTATGCTTTTGTGTTTTCCGTTAAAAAAATAGTACCAAAAAGAGGGGATGGGGATACATAATTTGTTTCTGTGTATATATTATAATAGATCTATTATTTTTATGTCTTTGCTGAGCTTTGTCAAAGAGCAAAAATACATTGTACTGAATCAGCTGTTTGCTTTGCTGTTTTATTGGACTCCCGATGTTTTCTTTTTTTTGTGTTGATTTTTGTTCTCTTTTACGTACGTCAGAGTTTGTTCTTATTTGTTTTTTTACTGACTCAAATCAGCTGGGATGGGATCATATTCTTCACGTCGCTTTTTTTTAATTGGAAATTTGGTACATATTTCTCAGCCTCTAAGTGAGTGGTTGGTGGGTACTCTCCTAAATATCTAAATTGTGTTTATGGGGTGTAAAACGACTGCTTAAAACAACAAGAATTGTTCCTTGTCAGTGACACAGATGATGAGAGTTCATTCCCAATGCCGAAATGTTGTTGTTTGTCGAGCATCTCTTTCTGTCTGCTGGGGTGCCGCGTACAAGTACAACTTGTCGGTCTTTGTTGTTTTTGTCAACGCCTCCATTGACACAGTTTAGATTGTGGGTGGGTGGCGGGTGCTCTGGTGTGGTTTGCCTCTTCTTTTCTATCAAACATCTTTCGTCCTTATCTTTGCTCCTTCTTTTTTTATATTTGTTACTCTCTTGTAATACTAATAGGCTACTTCCAATCTTCGGCACTTAATTGACCTTATTGTGTTGCAAGTGCCGTAAAACACTTACTACATATAAAACAAACTAAAACATAGTTTAGATCAACTAACTGGTGAACTTCGACCATGCCTGACATTGCCAACCCCGGCTGAGAGGGGTACAACATCCTGGTAGAAAGAAATACGTAGACTTGATAAAAACTCTCCCCATCTGGAATCGAACTCGGAGCGACAGAGAAGTGCCTATCCACTCTATCTGTACCACCAACGCTGGTGAACCCTCGGTCAACCTCACATGAAAAGAAAATAAGGCAGTGTCAGAGAAACTTGCCTCCCGGTTTATGGAAACTGGGGGGGGGGGGGGCATTAACCATTTACAACCCACCAGCCTTGTGAAACTTGGGGCCAGTATTTACCACTCTCAGCAGAGCTGGCACACCCACTGTGAAGTGCCACTAGATCATACGACTAGACCATACGACGTGGGTGCTCTGGTGTGGTTCACTTCTTCTTTCCTATCACTTATCAGACATCTAGATCTATTGTCCTTATCAACCAACAAGTTATTACGACCAAACATTTAAGGGTTGCTGTCTGTTGATTAAACACAACACCTCATCTACTTCATGAACGAGGAGTCCTCTGGTATTGTGACTGGGTGTTCTGCCTTCAAAATCAATTATGCTTGGTCCCGTAAGTCATCCCATATTTCAGTTGAGAGGCGATACGGTATTGTGGAAAAAATGTACAAGACGCCTAACGATCGATTAATCTGACTCGTGAAGAAAGGGCTGGCGATGAAGGGAAATAACCGAGGAAAAGGCTCGACCATCATTAGTACAAAAACAAGAACGCCCATACTTCCAGCTCAACATGGTCGATGGTGTTTGTTTGGGTTTTTTTCTTTTTGTTTTTGCTGTTTGTTTTTATTGGGGGGGGGGGGGGGTTTGCTTTGTTGCTGTTGTGGTTGTTTTTTTCGTGTTATTTTTGTTGCTTTTTTCTGCCTTTTTTCTATTTTTGCTTCGTTTAGCAAGTGTTAACTGCGCTCGCAACTGAATAATGTCATGAGCTGTTAGATCTTACCTACCCTAAGACTAGGGGTGTGGCTAAAGACAGCAGTAAGAAGGGGCCAATGAGTAGCAGTAGAAAGGCTGCAGAAACAGTTGGGGCCCAGAGGAGGGGGCAAAGGGGGTCGTTGGGGTCAGAAAGCGGAGATGAAGACTGACGACAGAACATGGTTAGATGTGGAAAGGGGGACACATTTAGAGATGAACATTTTCCGTCGCTGCCAGGTTTCGAAACCGGGACCTATTGAATAAGAGGCGAACATCGAACCTCCAGACCACGAGAACACCCGATGGTGGTAGTTTCGCTTTGGAGAGACAGAGAAAGAGAGAGACAAACACACACACACACACACACACACACACACACACACACACACACTCACACACACACACACACACTCACACACACACACACACACACACATACACAGCGAAAGAGAGAGAGAGAGAGACAAAGACAGACAGACAGACAGACATACAGACAGAGAGAAAGAAAGAGAGAGACAGAGAGAAAGAAAGAAAGAGACAGAGAGAAAGAAAGAAAGAGACAGAGAGAAAGAAAGAAAGAGACAGAGAGAGAGAGAGAGAGAGAGAGAGAGAGAGAGCAGGCGCGGTTCATCCATAGAGCACGGTCTTGCAGTGCCGCCCAAAATTTGTTAATGTTCTATTACGTAAAACAATCACAATAATAAAATTTTAATAAAAGAAGCCTGAAACAAACACAAGCCAAATATTATATCAAAACAAGGTCCTCATTGGCGCCATAACTGTCATTTCTGTGTCTATAGCGCCGTAAAACAACCTCTATGCCATGCCAAAGTCCACGCGCTTTAGCTAAACAGAATAGATTCAACAGTGTAACCTGACCTATAAATCGCTCTTGGGGATAACCCAAGCGATGACGACACTCGTAGCGAATTTGGTGTTACATTAATATTAATAAGACGGCACATCTCAAAAGTGCTCCTGCCGAACAGAGCCGAAACATAGCCTAGTGTAGGCAGTCTAAAAAAACGCGATAGACCGTGCGCTATTCTTTGCCAATATTATGTGATCTCCGGAGCAATCCAGCAGAGTGCTCTAGTGAATTGTGATTGGTTCATTGTCTGTCTTGCCACTATTTTAAGTGACTCTGTGTCTGTGAACCTGAGGGAGGTGAACGTGACCGTCCTATGAGTTGTGCCTTCGAATGGTTTTGTAGTGGAGTAATGAAAGTTATTACTCGAGTGTTCTGTTCCAATACAGGATGAGCGAAATTGATGTGTAGCTAACAAACAAATTTAGTACTAGAAACCAAACCCACACGTAAAGAAGAATAATAATAAAAGCACGAGGCCCTCCCTCACCAACACAAAGATCCTAAAATTATACACCGTCTCATTTACTAGGCCTATGCCCTTGACTATCTTCAGCATGCGATAGCTTAAGAGAGAGAGAGAGAGAGAGAGAGAGAGAGAGAGAGAGAGAGAGAGAGAGAGAGAGAGAGAGAGAGAGAGAGAGAGAGAGAGAGAGAGAAAAAGAGAGAGAGAGAGAGAGGGGGGGGGAGAGGGGGGGTGGATGGACCGAGAGAGAAAGACAGAGAGAGAAAGACAGAGAGGGGAAAGACAGAGACATAAAGCTAGAGACAGAAAAACAGAGAGAGAGAAATCAGCGGAGAATTGGCAGGAGAGATGGAGAGTTCACACGTAATAATAAATGGAATACTTGGATAAATGCTCCAGGTTCCATAAATCTCTCAAAAGCCATTTCCTCAGTCATTTCCCTTCATCTCCAGCCTTTGTTCCATGAGTCTCATTAAAAGATCGTTTGGCCTAAAAGTGTTTTTTTACAACACAATATCACCTCACAAGTAAAATGTTTAAGATTTAAAAGAAACAAAACACAGTTGATTTTGAAGGTAGAACACTCAGTCACAATACCAGATGGAGTCCTCTTTCATGAAGTAAGTAACAGCAACCCGAAATAACTGCTGGAGTAAGGGAAACAATTACCCTAAAAAATCTTGTTAAACAACAGTAAACAGAAAAACAGAAAAGCCGCTTTAAAAAGTTAAAGAGAAATCTAGCA